ACTTTGCCCTTGTCCTTGTTGAACCTCATGAGATTCCTTTCAGCCCAATCCTCCGGTTTGTAATGAAGCAACAAACTGTCACTGCTCGGTGACAATACAAACATCACTGTTTAATTAGCAACATATGCAAAAAATTTTCTTTAGAGCGTCTCTGTACCAAGGAATCACACTTGGTTCCTTTTTACAGGCCCTGAAAGGTCTTTAGTGCTAAGAGATTATATTTTAAGGATACGAAGGAGGCCCGAGGGCAACGGCAAAGCCATTTACAATGAAAAAACATTAAGCGGGCCTAGTTAAAGGGCCCCTGTTTTGTTGTAGTCTCCATCTAGTTGCTTCCCCCTCCCCCTGCATCCCTTTTCTTTCCTCCTCCTCTCACCTCCTCTATCTCAGGGCACTACAGAGCCAGGCTCATTAATGTTTGAAAAGGCTGATCAATAACAAGAGAATGGTGAACTGTCCATCTGCAAATTACCAGGCATCGCATGAATATTTAAAAAGCCAACCTCAGAACATGGAGCAGTCTGGGGCTGGAGCTTTTTAAAGAGGAATAAAAGGACCTTTACATACTGCCAGGATTCATAAGAAAGGTTCCTACCCAAAGGACACAACAAACGAGAAAGCAGTGCTCCCTGATGCATTCAGTGTTGCAAAGTTTACTTGAGTCTTGCATTTCATAAAGTAGCAGAATACATACAAGCATGAATGCTATTCTTATGCCTAACACTTATTTTATTTGCATACTGCCCAAAGACATTAATTAGGATCAGGAGTTCATTGTGCCAGGTATCATCTCTTCAACAAGGGAACTTAACATTTTTCAGCCCTTGTTAAGGTGGAGAAAGATAACACAGAAGTCCTGTTTGGCCCCAGTGAATCACAGCTGCTCATCTTCAATTCAAGTCAATGGGCGCAGACAGAAATGATAGTTGTCGCATGATCAGCCCCCTGAAAGCACTCTACAGCCATGTCCTGACACATGCACACAGCCGCAGAGAGCTTTAGAAGTGGCAGATCGCATGAAAAGTTAAGCCTCCTCAAGTAAGTTATCAGATGAAGGTGCTCCACTTTAACTCTAGGGACACAAGTTCCCTAAGGCACTCTAATTTGTCCTGTGATTGGGGCTGGGCTCCCCTGGGGCTGTCAGCACGAAGGAAGGGGAGATGGGTGAGGGGGAAGCCAACAGCAGCAAGCTGCTGGCTGGGGTTTGCCCGACCTGAGCTGGAGTGGGAAGGGAGTGGATCAGAGCCCCCCTGCCTCATGCCCCCCTGGCATCCTTCCCCTCCAGCGTAGACTGAGCAAACCCCAACCAGCTGCCAACAGTGCCAGAGCTGGGACGGAGGGAGAAGAGTCAGATTGGGGAGAGGGGTGTCTACTCAGATGGCTGCTCACCTACAGGCACAATCCCCGCCCCGCAACCCAACAAAAGAACCTCTGTTGGGTGGGGGGCGCACTAATTCATGGGGCTTTATGTAAAGTACCATAAGTTGGAGCAGGGGCCTGCATGTCTGTCAGCACCCAATATGCCAACAAACTTTGAGCAACCTTGACTTCCAAGAGTAAGACTTCTTTTGAGGCTAAGATATGGACCAATGAATTGAGGTCTCAGACTTGGTCCTTCATTCACTGAGGTCAATAGCAAACCTTCCATCCACACTAATGCAGAAGTAGGGCCCTGGGTTCTATTTCCAGCAATACAAATTTGGTTTGTGACCCTGGACAAGTCATTTCCATCTCTATAGCTCTCAAACTCCTCTCCCTCCTGCCACCCCCCATTCTGGAAAACAAGGATTTTTTTTGGTGTGATAGATCATCTGTATTTGGGAAGTACCCTTGTGCTAAAAGATTATTACAGTTTGGCAGAATACAGCAGGCACAACTGGACAGGAAGCCAAGGGCATCAGCTGGCAGCCTGTATCTCATTTTATCTGCTGAAGTACAGCCTGTATTGGCTATCCCTTCAGCTTAGTCCCCCACCTACCTTTGTCACTGTGCAACACGCAGCCCAGATGTCATCAGAGGACTGCTCATAGTAGTCTGGTTGGGGTTCCCAAATTTGGATTGGCTGATCCGCATGTGCCACTACTGTCCCATACTGGTCTACTAAAGCTGCACGGACACTTGCTGTTCCAACATCAATTCCAACATAGTAATTTACCAGGTCCTGCTTGTTGCTATGCATTTTTAATAACCCTGTAAAGCTGCAAGAGGGAAAAAAAAATCCGGTTTAAAACCACATGTATAAAGTGATGAAGAAAAGCTGCATGACAAGAAACAGTGTGCAGGTGTTGTGTAGGCACTTTTGAGCATTTGAGATTAAAGGTGACCAATATATTTGAAAGTCTTCATTTAAATTTGTAAAATGAATTTGCTTATGCAACCCCTGTAGTATGAGGGCTGTTTTTGTTCAATTGTTTTTGTATATGAGCTGAAGTGGCATAAATGTTCCTGGAAAGCACATTGCCAATTTTCATGCAGGAGTATGCTTAACAGGAATGTTTGATCGCCCATCCAAACAGGGAACAGGCATAATACCCTATGACAAAGCTGATTGATCACAAGTACCGAATTTGCCTAGTAAATATTTGTAGAATTAAAGCAAATTCACAAAGGAATTTGTTGAATACTAAAAAGAAGCTAAAACTTGAAAACTAAAAGAGAATTAAGAGAATAAAAGAGAATTTAGGGTTACTTAACCTCAGGAGCAGGGGGTTGGACCTGATGATCTACCAGGTCCCTTCCGACTC